CACCTATCGCCATAACTCGGGTACCTCGGGATTGTTAAACCCGTACTGTAGCTACAAACATAGCTACAGCCCCTGAGGGCCAGTTAACGTAAGTAAATAGAAGTATGAAAGTATATTTTTTAACTCTGTACTAATACAAAACTAAAATAAACAAATAAACTAGATGTTTCTTATAACCAGATACTGCATCTGTGGTGCACCGATAATACGGCCTGGCTCAAGGACACACGTGACACACCGTGAGATAAGAGACTCGAGTATATTTTTTAAGTAGACAGCGATAAAGCGTTCCTCGAATGCACGCAGGTGACTCGCTATACGATTGTTCTCTAGGAGGGATTATACCACTCCTGTGTATGAATTTCATAAAATTAATCTCACTCCCGCAGAGGCTAAACGGTGCCCAAAATCTGAGCACACTTTTAGATTGCTCGTAATTAACCTAACAGCTTTCGTATATAAAATTGTTTGCAAATACGTGATTCCTTTGGGATACAGCGAACCCTCTCTAAGAGGCGCGCGGTGATGCTACTCGCGGTTGAAGGGCCTAACGATCGGGTCCATCGACGTCTAAGAGGCACATACCCGAGACCAGGGCCTTGTAGACAGGATCCTATGCACGGATGCATCAGTTTTAAATCGATCACTGCAGGGATGAGTGTAGCCTCTAATCCACAAAGCCAAGAAATAGAGAGAGAAACGTTAGATGGATGGAAACATCGAATGACGATAAGGATCAGGCTGCACAGCCACCTATGAGTGTATTCCCTGCGCAGACACTTGGCGTTAGAAATGCAGCTGGAGAAGCACGATACGCCTACGCTTTACTAAGCCCACACGTCCAGGGCCGTAGGTATCTACCTACTAGGTGTCGCGTACCGGAATGTTATCTATGGAAATATTACCGAGCCGATAAAAGCAATAAGAAAAGTTTCGCATTGTCGCTGCAAAGGTCGATACCGATTTCTGGGTTAGGTTTAGGGAATCACGGGGATAACGGCGATAACGGTTCCCGTTGTTTCGTGTGCTTTCTCAAATTTTTCAGGGCTCGCGGCCGCGCCCAGGCCCATAAAAATCCAGACGGAACGGTTGCTCGATTTTTGGGCGTGTTCACAAGACAGGAATACGCGCGCGACACGCAACCAGGCGAACACGCGAGCGAGCGAACGCTAGCGCGAGCCAACGGCCTCTCGTCGCGACGAGACGCGCACACAAGTCCACGGAAAGCGCAGCCCTCTTGACGTTCTCCAAGCTGCATCCGGCAGAGCCAGTGTTTTTTGCGCGCCGTATCGCATCCTTAAGTTCGCCACTTGTCCCCCGAGCAGTCGGGAGCATCTTCGTGACTATCGTGCGCGCTGGCGTCATACCCACCGCCATGCAAATGAAAATCGGAAATTTCCGCGCCGGTGGTACATCGCGGTCGACCCGAGAAACTGCTCCTTGGACTAGGGAATCCGGGATATCCTCCATTCTCTATGTTTAACTTCCATTCGTGAAATATTATTTCATAATTAACGTTAAGCAGACCTAACCTATATATTTACACTTTCGCTAGATTTTCTGTGAAAATATAATTCAAGTTGAAGTAATAATTATTAGGTGCAGAAATTGGTTAAACTTTACTTTAGCGGACTTAACATTTTCTAGTTTTTTTTTTTTTTACATAAGCCTGTAGATTTCGACGAGTGGACTCCAAAAATGCTAGTCTTCGTGCGAGAAATCCACTGGTTCAAAAGTTATGAGCAGTTAAAGGTGAACCTTTTTACCGCATTTGTCAGGCAATTCAAAAGTTGAATTCGTACTCTAGGGCTTCGCCCTTCCCCTTACACCTCCTCCCGAGAAAATAGGCCCAAACCAATTCTGTTAATTCGAAATATGGCAGTTTTCAAAAATAGGCATAACAGTATAAAAGTAGTACATAATGTAGTCCGTCACCTGAGAATCTGTTTTTCCGACAGGGTACAAGACAATATGGCGCCGAAAGTGTCAGTCAAATACGGTAAAATGTCACCTTTAACTGCTCATAACTTCTGAACTAGTGGATTCCTCGCCTTATAACTAGCATTTCCGGACTTTTCTCGACAAAATCTACAGGATTATGTAAAAGAAACTTAAAAATTTTGGGTACATAGTGTTACTTTAGGTACATGAT